AACTTGATGCAGTCAATTCCTGTCTGGAGTGATGGAAGTATTTCCAAGGCCACCTTCGTGCCATTGAGTGCCATCCTTTTCGGCGCCGGCGCTTCTGTATAGGGACTGTCTGTTAGATCACAGTTGCCGCCATGACCACCAGCGCTCGCGAGAAGAGGATATCAGGAGGGCTTACGCCGACAGAGAATGTTGGAATGACCTGGACCGCATTACCTGGCAGCACCCTTACAGTTTCGAGTCCATAGAGCAGTGGCCGTTGGACGCTGCCGTGATCTGCAGACCTACGGATCGAGCGTCAGTGTTGCTTGGGAGCATCAAAGCGGCGTTTAGCTTGGAGGACATTTTGAAGACTCTGTTGGTGAAGGTCACTGTGGTCGTGACCATGTGCGCAAATGAAATGAAGATTCAAGGCGCCCCGAAGGATTGGACGCGGTATTTCCAGCAAGAAAAAGTCTTGCACATCAAGTGTCAGTTGGAGGACACGACATTGAAGCCGCCGCAACGGACGGATGAACGAATCCCTGACTTGGTAGCTTCTTGTTTGGAACAGTGGAAAATTGTCTGTGGCCAACGGCCAACTCTGGAAACAATCCATGCTGGCAGTGACCAGGTGCGAATCCATGCACGTGCTCTTCCATTGCTTTGGAGGCATCAATCGAAGCGCTGGGGTTTCATGTGCTTGGCTCGTGGTGGGTTACAACTACTCTGCAGAGGATGCCGTCCAGTTGCTGCTTGAGAATAAGACCTTCCTGGCGCCCTTGGCGCAATCGCCCCTATGTCTTGGAGGCGTTGTGGAAGCTGGAAGGTTTGCGTACCGAGTGGCACATGGAACTCAGCGCGGTGGACGGAAACATTTGCACCACTGTTCGTCTGGAGAAACTGTTCGTGGCGAACCTGCAAGATCAGTAGCCAACTGCTGTTTGTCTGTAAAGACTGTTCGTGACGACCATGTGAACTCATTAGTTCGACCAGCAGTTCAAAAGTTGAAAAGTGTTGTCTGTGTGTGCGTGTGATCCAACTCGATGACAGACGATCTCATCTTGGTACGAGTGAACAACTATGCATGATCGCGCAATCTGAAATTTCTGAGGCGACTCTTGTGCCAGTTTGGTACCGGCCTGGTTTTTGATGGATGTTTTTGGTCTTGAAGTAAATGAAATTACTGGAATGTGTCCAGCGCTGTGCTATGCACTAAGGTTAGCACTTCTGAGCCACAACGTTTCACTGCGATTTTAAAGCATCATGGTACCGAGCTTTTCTGTGTACTTTCGTGGAAATGTCCATAACAAAGTCACATAACATCGAGTGGTGCCGAGCTTTTTCGTATACCTTTGTGGAAATTTCTATAATAAAGTGTCATTCACATCATCAGCTCACTTTGCAACGTCATTCGCAACATGAGTTTGTTTCGACTTGATGGCGTCTGTGCAAGTAAGTTTCATTGGGAAGAATGTGCCATATACATCAGTTACTTGCCATCGGCATGTTCTCGCGTTGCATTTTTCATGCTGTCTCTTTCTGCTTGTCCTTACCAAACAGCTTGCTCCAACGCGGCTGGCACCGCGTTGGCCGGTGGTGGGGGACACAGATACGCATAACTTGAGGCCAACGTTCTGGCGATAGCTCGGGCTATCATCAGAATATGACAACAAAGGTGATGGGCTAACGCGCTCTGTTGGGTATGCGCCGGCCATAGTAAAATGAGATAACACATGTCATTCGCAGCATCATGGTACCGAGCCTCCTGTGCACTTTTGTTGCTCACATTATATTTTCATGTTTTCTTTCTATCTCCCTTTATTTCTCCCTCTCTCTCTCTCTCTCTCCCTCTTTCTCTCTCTCTCTCTCTCTCTATCTCTCTCTCTCTCTCTCTCTCTCTCTCTCTCTCTCCCCCCCTCCCTTTCTCTCTATCTATGTCTCTCTGTGGTTGCAAGACACGTGTCATATGATGCCCTTTACCAAGCAGCACAGTGCATAGGCATGGGTTGTCACATGTATCCTCTTCTGAATCAGTCTTGCTTTTCACAACTTATCCCTCCATAGCTCATATAAAATTCACCAACCATTCACCGACAATTTTTTACGACTACCATACTCAGAGCTGCTTGAAAAACGTCTTTTTCGCTCTCGGGCCAACTGTCGTCTAGTACACCAAGAAGCCTTACACGGAGGAGCTTTTACGCACAGACGCGTTTACACAGAGAAGCCTTTACACAGGGGAGATTTTGCACGCAGAAGCCTTTTACGCAAAGAACCTTTTGCACAAAGTAGCTTTTACCCAGAGAAGTCTTGCACAGAGAAGCTTTTACGCACAGACGCGTTTACACAGAGAAGTCTTTACACAGAGGAGCCTTTACGCACAGACGCGTTTACACAGAGAAGCCTTTACACAGAGGAGCTTTTGCACACAGAATCTTGTACGCACAGACGCGTTCACACACAGAAGGTTTTACAACCAGACAGCTTTAGGGCGCGCAGAACTTTTACATAGAGCAGCTTTTGCGCAGCGAAGCTTGCACACACGGGAGCTTTTATACACAGAAGCTTTTACAGAAGGATTTTTTGTACACACAAGCTTTTACACACAGAAACTTTTACACACAGAAGCTTTTGCACACAGAAGCTTTTACACACAAGGAGCACGGCCTTTAGATGGCCGTGGGTTTTTTTGTGATGAATGGGATGTTATGATCATGTTTGATGTGCTCGTGCCAGTAAGAACTTGTGATGTGATTTTTAAGGTCGTCGACCTCTTATTCACAAGCAGTTTCACGAAAACAGGTATTTCGTCTGCACGAAACTAGCGTTTTTGGGTTTTTTTGCCGACCCTGTAACACAGAAGCTCTTACACAAAAAAAGCCTAACTAGCGTTTTTGGGTTTTTTTGCCTACCCTGTAACACAGAAGCTCTTACACAAAAAAAGCCTTTACGCAAAGGAGCTTTTAGCGTTTTTGGGTTTTTTTGCCGACCCTGTAACACAGAAGCTCTTACACAAAAAAAGCCTAACTAGCGTTTTTGGGTTTTTTTGCCTACCCTGTAACACAGAAGCTCTTACACAAAAAAAGCCTTTACGCAAAGGAGCTTTTACACAGAGACGGGTTTACACAGAGGATTCGGAGGCGTTTAGACAGGAAAGCTTGTACACACAGAAGCTTTTACACAGAAGCTTTTACAAAGAGAAATCTTTACACAAAGAAGTCTTGACACAGAGACGCTTGTACACACAGAGGCTTTTACACAGAGATGCCTTTTACACAGCAGCTTTTTCGCAGAGGAGCTTTTACACAGAGGAACTTTTACACAGAGAAGCTTGTACATTCAGAGGCTTTGACGCAGAAGTCTTTTACACAGAGAAGCTTTTACACAAACAAAACCTTCACACAGAGGAGCCTTTACAGACAGAAGCTGGTACGCAAACAAACTTTCACAAACAGAAACTTTTACACACAGAGGACGTTTTACAAAGAAGCTTTTGCACACAGAAGCTTGGCTTTTACACAAAAATAAAACTTACACAGAGAAGTTTCAGAAGCTTTTACGCAAAGAAACTTTTACACGCAGAAACTTTTACACACAGAAGCTTTTACACACAGAAGTTTCTCACAAAAAAAACCTTTCCACAGAGGAACCTTTACACAAAGAAACTTGTGCGCACAGACGCGTTTACACACAGGAGCTTTTGCGCATAGAAGCTTTTGTACAGGGAAGTCTTTACCCATCTTTCATCAGGTCTCATTTTTCATGATCATTCACCATCTGTCACCTTCATATCTTTGTTTTCATGCTCTTTTGGTCAAGTTTAGTTTTCATTTCGCACGGTGTTCTGTCCGTCCACGCTTCGTCCTCGTTCCCTCTGCGGCGAAGCAAACTAAACGAGAACCCAAGAATAAATAGCATTTAGAAAGATGGGATAGAATTTATCATATTAGAAGTAATAGCGACTAGAAGAATGTAGACGCAGCTGACACAGCATGCTGTGGTGAATTGTGGCCCCTGGCACCATCAGTGCGCACGATGTTTCAGTAAAGATCTTACGTCGATTTCGTGCAGAGCACAGCTGCCCACACCACAAGATTTTTTTAAAAAAAAGGCGTGCTGTGCACCGTCTTGCTTTTGGGTTCTCTGGCCCACTGTGTTTATTCTTTGGTATGTGGGCGCATCTCTTCTTGCACGGTCTTTGATGGGTTTTCATTCTTTGTTGCAGCCCACCGCTTTTGTATCTATTTGCGTCTATTTGCTGATTACAAGCTTGTCTCCTCAAGCCTCAGGCTGGATCTTACCATCTTGAATTAGATACATTGCACAATAATGCACATTTTTTTGCACTTGTACAGTACAAATAGTTTACCTCTTTGCTGCTCAGCGCGAACATAGGCCTACAATTTGAATGATGTATGATGCGTTAGCTATTTACAGCCCCTGCTTTCCACGCACGAAACGGCAATGTATTAAAACTATATAAATATATCTGAACAGTCAAGACCAAAAGGGTTTCGCTTCCAATACATTTCGAGACTTGCAACCTGCGCGCTAGATAGAATAGTCCAATCCCGCCTGCGGATGTATGTATATAGTTAGATATTATATATAGAGGGAGACCTCAAATTTTGACAGGTCGCATTCAAGAAATTTGAGATTGGAACTCACTATATATACCTTCCCTAGAATCTGCTGGTTTTCATGTACGGACTCTATGTAGATGAAAAGGTAGTTCAAGATGATATTAAAAAGCGTTATCGCCACTCAGATTCTTGAGGACATGGAAACATGTGGCATTGTTATGCTTAGAGTCCTCTTCTTGCTGAGCATGCATACCAGGTCCTGACTGCAACCGGTTCTGCCAGAAAGACCAAAAAAGTACAGCCTGTTTCGCCTGTAGCATGCTCTTGAAAGAAAGACATTCAGCAAGGCTAAGTAGGGGACCAGCCAAAACGATCATCACATCGAAAGTAGAGGCGCTTCTTGGCGGACCTCGTTTTGCAATGGTGTTGGCCAGACAGGCGCTTACAACACTGGCCAGAAAGATGTGGGCTGCAGATGATCGCGTTACTGGATCAATGTCAATGATCTTGAATAAGGACCTGACAGCGGGCTTTTGGTTTCCTCTTCATCATGGGCATTTCCTTTGCAGCTTCACAACACAACCATGGAAATGGCAGATCAGGGAAATCACTAACCGCTGCACTGGGAACTGCATGCATTTGCATGTTTTCCTGAAGTCCGAAGTTCAGTATGGCAGCAAAACTACAGGGGCCAATAGCCAAGTGAGAGGGAAGGAATAAAAGTTGTAAAAGTAGAAAGTTTTTTGTCTGGCCTTCAACAAGCTGGCTGTTCTTCCATGCGCTACCATCAGACAATCATGAATGATGTTGAGTTGTTTTCACTGTGGGTGTGTGTGATGAGGGTATTTGTTTTTACTTCTATGAGTAGTCAATACTGAATACACATATATATATACACATGTACGTATACATACATTGGCTTATAGTCATTTTGAGTTTTTGAGGCGCAGCATGTCCTTGTTGGAAGTGATCCGGAGGAGCTCATGAACAAAGGCGAAGCAACAAGTGAGACTGCAGATATCATTGGAACTTTGGGACTTCGAGAACCCTTTCAGGCAGAGCATGCCACGACATATCCACAGAGTCCGACGCAACCACCTTTGCGTAGTTTTTGCATTCTGGAATCTTTCCGAAGGCCATGGCTGTGGCGGCTCTTGACATCCCCAGAGAAGACATGAAACATGTTGATGCAGTGGCATCGATGGTTTGCTACTCAGATATTGGAAGATGTCGCCTGATTGCCCTTCAAACTTGAGTTTACAAGCTACTGGTGCTTTCTGTTTTCATTTACACACGTCGTGTACGGATTTTCTGAATAGATGCCGGCTGGAATTCGAAATGCAGTTCTACTGATATTTGTTGCTGGGACGGAAGTCTTGCTTTGGTACTCGTAAATTTAGTATCCTGTGCAGCTATTTTCCCCCAATGAGAATGCATGACGGATCATTTGAGATATATGGAAAATGTTTGTACCTTCAATGTGACAACAGCGATTTGCGCAATACTTCCTTGAGCACTGAGCGACTCATGTTTTGCATGAGTTTGCTGCGTGCAAACCCTGGCCTGACTTTAGCGGTTTTGGGGTAGGGTAACAGTAGGTTTGTACCATTGATACTGTACTCTTTTGGCCGCCAAGCAATGCGGGATAGTTTGGTCATGACGATGTCCAGTTAACTCAGATCTATTGAGATCTATCCAGATTTGTTTACCGCTGTGTGTCGAACCGCTTCCAACCCCCATTGATTCCATTGCTTGAATCATCTATGATATGTATTTTTCAGTGCTTTGGTCTTGGTTGGGCACTCAGAAGAAACCAAGAGGCTTGGGCTCTGGCTGTAGCAAACATTCAGCTTGCCTCGCTCCAGATCAAGGCGCCTTTTTTTGTTGGCATCAGTTCCATGTCAGAATCTATCGGGTGAAATCAGCGGAGGGGTCAGAATTTTTGAGTCCCATCATGGATCAGTGCTGGGATGATTGGGGACTGTCGGGAGGGTTGTGAGAATGTCGGGATGGTTGCGTTGGTTGGGGCGGGCTGGCCAGAAGTGCCGGGTGTCCAGAGTCGGGCTGGTCACGATCGCTGCTAACCACGCATTTTTTCTTCCACTCTGGTGATGAGCCACTGCTCATGGCATGGACATGGCCCGCTTCCAGGCACCAGGGCTGTTCACTGTTCAGATGCCACAAGCCACGCACGCACCCACCGCCCGCATCACTTCTTAAAACCCATTTGAGCACAAGAAAGGCCAACCGCGTAGTGACAACGAACGCGCACGCCCGACCTTTATATGCATAGATGATCATAGATGCTCATTCCATCTCGAGCTCGCTAGTTGAGATTCCATGTCAAGTTTCCAGGCGTGCACCTGCCCCGTTGCATGACAATGTTTATCTGTGTGTTTGTTCTGGTCTTTTTGGGCCTGAAGCTTTTCTGATTCCAGCGTGAAGCCAATGAAGTTGGGCCTACAGTGGACAACTTGTAAGGTACGGTGCAGCAAGTTTGGGCTACCCAGCGACATTTTTGAGGTCATGCCGAGGTAGTTTCAAACTTTAATGCCCGTCCGTAAGTGAACGGCCTATATGTTGGGCAACTTGCGAAGTAGGAAGTAGGTAGGGTGCGGCAAGTTTTGGCTACGTAGCGACACTTTTGAGGGATTTGGGGTCATGGTGAGGCAGTTTCAAAGCTTTGATACCGGTGGTCGAAGGATAAGAACAGGTTTGGGCTACCTAGTGACACTGCATTTGGGTCATGTTCCGGCATTTTCAAAGCTTGATGCCTTGGAGGGTGAGAACAGGCACCTTCATCTCAAGGTTCTCATTGGAGTGGGAAGCCTGCGCCGATGCCAGGGTGAAGCCCCTGAGGGGCAGAGTCAGGGCTTTGTAACTTTTGGTTGAAGAATGTTGAAGAGTGGATAAAAAGAACTTTCGGCTAGGCGCATGTTCTGAATGTTTTTATTTGCGTGCAGAACTTCGGTTGGTTCCGCTATGGGGCTCAGGCTGCTGTTGTGAGGCTGTTGGACAGTTGATTGGGATGGCTGGGGCCGTTGGGACGTATGGTTGAGATTGTTGGGATGTTTGGGAAGTTGGGAAGGCTGCCGCAGGGCGCCCAGCCCCCGCCTCCGATCCAACCGATATAGATTTGGATCCTGCAAATTCGATCCGACCAACGTAGATTCTGATCCATTCTGATCCTGCGACGCAGATCCAACCCTTCTGAAGTGAACTGTGTTTAATGCTTCCCCGCTTCCTGCCGACTTGCTGGAGCTGTCAAAGCTGTACTCTATCATTGAGCAAACCGCCCTGGCCAGGTTGCCAAAGGCATCATTGCACATATCGACAAGGCCAAGAGTCAACTGATGAAAGGCATTTGCACAGGCAGCGCGTCGCAGTGGCCAGGTTTCTCCTCCTGACATCGGGAAGCTGTTCATGACTATGCATGAAATGGAATGGTTTAAGGTCGGGCTCTCATTTGCTAGCAGCAGTATCAGCAATTTAGAATGGCAGCAGAAGCTCTGCATAGCTCTGAATGGAAAAGCGTTTTAGAAAGAATTCGCAAGGATGCAGATGCGATTGCCTACCTCACCCAAGCACTCGTTGCGCGCATTCAGACCTTGAAGGAAGAGGAGCTGATCACAACGAGCTGATGTTTAAGGATATGCTTAATAGGACCTAAGGCTAAGGATGATGACGGATGATTCGGCATAATCGAGGTTTGGTTCATTCTTCGGTCTCGCTTTCCATTTGCCGCTTAAGGCATTCATGTTCTTTACTACCAGGACCCCGGCTTGGCGAGCATGTTGGCTGCTCGGGCTCGCGAGGCCCAAGAGGCTGAAGCTCAAGACGGCGCGTAAAAAACATGATTTTAATGCTGCCGGGTGCAATGCCAGGCATGGCAAGAATATTTGAGTTTATGCTGTGTATATATATATATATTTATATATATAATATCATCTAAGATTTAAAAGGTATGCTTTTATATGGTTCTATCTTATGCCAGAGGTTCGTGGCGGTTTAAGGTGGCAAGTTCGGTGGCGGTGGCAGTTAGATATGGCAATGTGGGTGGCAGTTTCAGTGGCAATGAAGAGTTGGTGGCAAGTTTGCTGGCGGAATGTGAGCCCTCGGCTCAACTCCTTCCAGGGGCGGGGCTGTACGTCTGAAGGTTGAGGGGCCGTTCCCACTCTTTTAGCGCCATGGACGATCGGCTCCAGGATTCTGCGCGAACCTGGCCTGCAGTTGTGCGCACCCTTGGTGCGAATGCGGTGCTGTGCCTGGTTCACAGCCAACAGGCCACAGTTGGTGGCACGCAATTCGAGGACGAGAAGATGCTGGCACTTTACGACGTGAAGAAGGTTTACATGGAGACCACGGTATCTTGGGAGCTCCAATGGCAGCCCAGCTCCCTAGCAGTTCCCATTCCGGACGGCATTGAGAACATGATGGAGGTGAAGGAGGCTTGCGCTGGAATGGGCGGCATAGCACAAGGACTCGAGGCCATTGGGTTTCGAAAAATTGCTGCCATGGATTGTAACCAATTGATGTGTGACACCCTTCAAAGAAATGGATACCCAAAGGTGATCCTAGGGGATGTGCTGGTGGACACGGATAGGGCTCTGCTTCACCTGAATCCGTATCCAACCAGATGTATGTTGGCATCTGGATTTCACTGTCAGCCTCTTTCCAAGCAGGGGGGCCAAAGAGGACAGGCTGATAGCAGGTCCAAGCCATTCCATGCCGTCCTTAAAATGGCATGGGAGCAGCAGGGCTCGGCGATCCTTCTGGAGAATGTCAAAGGTGCCCATGATGCCGGGTACATTCAAGACGGCATCCAACGTTTAGCCTGGAGTCTGAACATGGACTTTGTGCAGACCATCCTCACGTTGGATCGTACGTGGCCATGCAGGAGGACGAGATGGTGGATGCTTATGAAACCAGTTGAGTACCGGATCCATGCTATCCCAGACCTTCCAGAAGATCAGCTGCTGCGCCAAATCGGGCAACTCATGCCGAACTGGCCTTTTTGGAGCCTAGATGATGAAGAAGCCCTGCAACTCACGGAGTATGAGCTCGTGATCATGCAGGACCAGCGCTATGGAAATGATTTGCGGC